TTACATTCCTAGGAGAAGATGGTACTTGTAACTCCTACGAAGTTTTTCTCTCTAAACTCTCTCCCTCAGCAATCTCATTTATTCCTATAGATTCAACTGCTTACTTCTATGCAGATGATGCCCAAATGTATATTTCCTGCATCTCTAAGCTCTTATAAGTTATCTCTACCTCTATCACTCAGCACCTCAAACTTAAAATATTCAAAATGATTATTATCTTTTTCCAAACTCATGCTTCCTTCTCATGAGCTGAAAATATTGTCTCCAAGCAAACTTTCAAGCCCAAGAAATGTTAGGAAAGGGGAAAATGTGTGTGTGTGTGCGTGTGTATGTATACACACACATATACATATATACCTATATACACATATATGTACACATATACATATACACATACATGCATATATACATGTATGTGTGTGTGTGTATACACACACACACACACATATATATATGTTCTTGTTCTTTTTTCTTCAGTGAATCACAGAATTAGAAAGTTCCAAGAGAGGATCTTGTCCAGCTTCCTCATATTCTAGATGAGGAATGAATAAGAGTAGTTAATGACCTACCTAAGGTTGTATATGGAGTAAACAGCAGAGTCAGGATTCAAACCCAGATCTTTCCCCCTACCCATCTAGCTTCAGAGCATGTATCTCCTATTAGTTTCAATTAATACCTCCAGCAGCTAGGGGTACAGGGCAGCTAGGTGGCGTAGTGGATAGCGTGTTGGGCCTGGAGTTGGGAAGACTCCTCTTCCTGAGTTCAAATCTGGCTTCAGACCTTACTAGCTGTGTTCAGTGTCCTCATCTATAAAACGAGCTGGAGAAGGAAATAGCAAACCACTCCAGTGTCTCTGCCAAGAAAGCCTCACATGGGGTCACAAAGAGGCAAAAAGGACTCAACAACCACAACGAAAGTACTGACTTAGTTCTAACAGCAGGGACCAGAGTCATACATGCCATTTAAAAAAAAAATTTCCCACCAAAGTCTCATTTTGGTCTTCTTTAAATTTGATTATTTAAGTCCAAATTAAAATTTGCTTTCATTCAATAGTTTCTCTTAATCTCAAATTCCTTGACTCAACTTCAAATTGTAGAGCTGCAGAGAGATGGGTAGAGATATGTAACTGGGAGGAAATGGGACAAAAGTCTGCAGCCATGGCTATTTGCATAACAGAAGGCGGGCTTGTGGGTAGAGGTGAAAGAATCTTTCTTGCTACAGTACTACTCAAGCTCCTTTTCCACCTGAGGAAGCAGAGTCCTGGGCATGTTCTAATGACAAAGAACTAAAATGAGTTTCTGACTCTAAGTTAGAAGACACCTGAACGGAGGAACTCAGAGAAGACAGTAGAGGCCAAGGAGCATAGAAGAGTCAAACAGATGAATTCAAAGAGCAGACCTGACTTCAAGCTAAGCTTCTGTCTCTTCTAGTACAGCCTAGATAAGGGAAGAGCTCCAACCCCACTGCCTGAGAAGGTGAGGCAGGACTTCATATTATTAGCTGAGAATGCTGGCTAAGGAGATCCATGGCCCTCCCTTGAGAAAAGGGGATTATTAATCAAGTGGCTGGGAGGACAGGTTGTTCTAAGGATATTACCTCAGTTGAGAATCATAGCTAAGATAGAAGAAGAAGCTAAAAAAGCAGACCAAAATTGCTGCCTTCCTTTCAGCAAGACAAAAGAGCAGTAGTCCATCCCAAAGAGGAGAGGTTTATTAAGGTATACTTCCTTATCCCCCACCCTCATTGATGGTGTACCCAAAGACAACAGCTGGGGCAGAGACTTGACACCCACCAGGGAGTGGGATCACTTGTCAGGGAGCACCTGGCACACAACACCTGGCAGGTAGCAATGCCGGGGGGGGGGGGGGGGGGGGGGGGGGGGGTTGAGCAGAAGGAGGCACAATGAGATCAGCAGAAGACAATGAATGGCAACCTCGCACTGTCAGAAGCATGAGTTGCCCTCCCCATGCCCCACTCATATTTTCCTGGTCACACGTACTTCTTGTACATATTCCCCTTCGTGAATGTACCCTGGACACATGTTCCCCTGTGTGGATGTCCCATATATGACTCCTATGAAGGTCTGCTCTTCCCACTGAGAATGTTCGCATTTGTGGGAGAACAAGTTCAAAATTTATTGTGGGGGAGAGGGAAATGTTCTATTGTTACTGTTACTACATTTCTATTTAATTAAATCTGGTTATAGTTTGGATGAGATTCTGGACGGAGACAGGGGTGGGGAACCCACGGCCTCCAGGACATGTGGCCCTCTAGGTCCTCAAATGCAGCCCTTTGACTGAATGACCTGTTATAGAACCTGTTACAGCTAAAGGGACACCCATGAGTGATAAGTCCCGAGTATTGGAAGGGCAGCTAGGTGGTGCAGTGTATAGAGCACTAGGCTTGGAATCAGGAAGACTCATCTTCCTGAGTTCAAATCTGACCTCAGACACTTACTAACTGGATGACCCTGCATAAGTCACTTAACCTTATCTGACTCTTTTTCCTCATCTGCAAAATGAGCTGGAGAAGGAAATGGCAAACCACTACAAAATCTTTCACAAAGAGTCAGATAATGACTGAAAACTACTGAACAGAGCTGAAAGAGACTTTAGAGAATATCTAAACAAATTCCTCATTTTACAAGTGCTGAAGTAAAGGCACAAAATGTCTTACTCAATGTTATTTAACTAAGTGTCAGAGATGAAACTAGAACTCAGGTCTCTTGCCCCCTCTCCTAATCTTGTGCTTTTTCTACCACACTCTGTGACTCCTGCAGGGTAGCTAAAATTTATCTACATAGTAGGCACTGACAATTCCATATTAAGATGCAGAGAATAAAAGCATGAATGACAATGAAGTAGCCCCAAACATGTACAAAAAGTTAAGTTCTGAAGAAACTGTAGACAAAACTGGCCATCTAGACCAGGAACTAAATAAAGCAATAACTTCTGAAACAACCCCCTTACTGCAGAGTGATAAATCCACAAGAGAAGCCCTAGGAACAAGAGGTGTGTCAAAACTAGTTGGCAGCCTTAATCCAGCTGACCTTGGAGGCAAGAGGACAAAATTAAACATGAAGAAAGTACATATATTAAGATTCAATAAGCCTAGGAAATGGAAGGAAGCAAAAGAGGAATCAGTGCAAAACTGAAGGAAAATTCCCAGCTTTTCAACTGTGAAATAACTTTACCAAGATTAGCTAGAAAATAGTCTCTCCATGGCGCTTCTGAATAGAGACTGAAACCAGCCCTGTCTCTACAAATCCTTGCAGCAAGCACGGGAAACATTCCCAACTGACTTCCAAAGGATGAGAACTAGAAAAACAACATTGTTTTCCAGAACATGAGGCTGAAAGCTATTTCTCCACAATTAGAAGGAAACGTAGAATTCTTTTTATCATGCTGACAACTCTCCAGGAGCTAATCTACTCGGCATAATCTCCTGCAGTTTGGTCCCACTGTGAGATTTCACAAATGCAGTCATTGATCATTTTTTCCCTTGACTCTTGAAGTATCTTCTATTCCACAGGACCATATCTGCCCTGGACAGAACACATACTCAATATGATCTATCTTTCACATCTTTATTAACTCTAACAAATCAACAGCAGTTTAAGCTCTCCACAGCCAACAACAATGAGCACTGGGCAGAGAATTATGACAAACTCGATATGTCTAAGACCAACTTAATCATCTTGTGCCCCAAACCTACAATTGCTTCTGATTTCAACATTTCTGTCAATCGCAACTTTCACTTAGTCTTCAAAACCACAGTGCTAACACTGACTCTTCCGCCCTTCAGCTGTTGTCTTGTTGATTTTACCTCCATAACTGTAATTTCTCTTCACTGTATCTTCCTCTTCTCTGCTCTCACTGCCATAACTCCCATAGGTCCTCAACATCACTCACCTGCACTAATAGAATACTCTCATTAGAGCTCTTCCTGCCAGAGTCATAACTAACAACCATGGTGCTGGGGGAGGGCAGGGAGAAGGTTAGCAGCACCAAATATGTCCTCAAAGCAACTTTATACTTCATAATGTGAAAACAGTACAAGAAATGATTTAGACAACTGAGTGGAGTGGGAAGGGGAATTAGAGGCTCAGAGATAAGTCTTATTAACAGTGCATACCATCTTACAGCTTCCTATTTCAATTAACCAGCCTTGCTACCTAGATGCTAAACTCAGATGTTTCTACAATGATGAATGAGTATATATACTGACAACACTCAATGTAACAAAATTCACAATCTTTTATAATCATCATGTTACATTTTTGGCAAAGCTTCTCAAGCTATTCTTAAGGAAAAGGTGGAGGACTAAATGATAGATGAGTTAGATAGATTCAGAAATGTATGAATGGATAGACTCAAAGAATAAGTCATTGATGCTTTTCTACCATCTTGGAAGGAAGTCTCTAGTACATTGCCCCAGGGATCTGTGCTTGGTCATTTGCATTTTAGATGAACACATAAATCATATGTGTTCAAATCTGCAGATGACCAGGGTGGGAAAAATAGCTAGCATGTTGAATAACTGATCAGGGATACAAAAATAGTACAACAAGATGAATCTAGGAAGGTGAAATTCACTAAAGATAAATGTAAAGTTTTATAGTTGGGCTCAAAAAAAATCAACTTCACAAGTACATGATAAAAAAAAATATGGCTAGACAGTATGAGAAAAAGTTCTGAATTACCTAACTCAGGCAGATTTACCTAAGCATTTATATTTTGTAGAGATGTAAGCTCCTCAATGGCACAAATCATGTTTTATCTTTGAGTTCCCCACCTATGCACACACGGATATGTCTAAATATACGTACTGCACATATATTTAATTTGACATTTGGACAGTTTGATGCTCTCTTAGAACAGTACCTCATCTACAGTTGGTTTGTGGATATTTTTGTTGCTATTTAAGGAAATGCAGGCACGCGCACATGCACACACACACACACAATTTTCAAAACGAAAAAAAAAAATTCTAAAGCTTACAGTTTCACAGTTCAAGCATCGAGTTTCATTGGTCAGCGTTCCCTGAAAGATTTCATGTACCCAGGTGAGTTCTGGTTTATTGTTCTCCACAGGTTCATTCATGTTACCATTTTTTAACTTCCCATTTTGTTTTTCCTGCTTTTTCTCCTCCTGCAGGATGTCTGCAATAGTGTTTAGCAAATAATTTAAAAACTCATGGGCATCCTGCTGCATGTAGTTGTCAAAGAGATCTGGAAAAAAAAAAGAAATTCACTATTTTGCTCTCCATTTTTCAAGGGGAAAAGGTTGTATATTCAAAATTAAATACCATGCCTAAATGTTTATTTTAAAAGATGGACAAATAGGGGCAACTAGGTGGCACAGTGGATAGAGCACCGGCTCTGGATTCAGGAGGACCTGAGTTCAAATCTGGCCTCAGACACATAACGCTTACTAGCTGTGTGACCTTGGGCAAGTCACTTAACCCCATTACCTAGCCAAAAAAAAAAAAGATGGACAAGTAGAGAATATTAGGAACTTATCTGTGTTATGCAGCTAAGCTTTAAGAAAAATTATTGGCCATTTCAATTTTATTTTCTAAGGCCTAAGCTCTTCATAGAGTTGCATTTGAATGATAAAGAAAATCTCCAAGGCATAATGCATGATTTTTGCTTTAAACACGGTTATTTCTTTAAAATTCTGCTTCCTGATAAAACAAAGTTTGAATAGTATACAACAAAAGCTCACAGATTGAGCATGAAAAAGCCCATTCAACCCTTCATTTTACAGGTGAGGAAGTTAAGGCAGAGAGATGAGGTGACTTGCTCAGGATCACAAAGCTAGTTAGTGTCTGGGGCAGGATTTAAATGTGGGGCTTTCCTGACTCCGAGTCCAGGAACCTATCCACTATCCTACTGCCTCAGGGGAAAAAAGAGGAAGTATCTATTCCATTATTATGGGTTACTCAGCCTACTGTGAGTTAGCTACAGCCAATCAAGGTCTCCCCTAAAGATTCCAGTGGTCCAAAGCTAAAGAGTATCAAAACAGGACATAGAAGGAAATGACAATCTCTCCTGTGTGTGGGAAGGGGATTCCCTGGTTCCCATCAATACTCAACTTAAATGTCCCTTTTTGCATAGTCTCCCTGCCTCAAGCCTCTCCTCCCTCCAGCCCATCCTCCACTCTGTTGCCAAAGGGATCATCCCTAAGTACACGTCTGATTATGTCACCCTCTTCTTCAAAAAGCCCCAGTGGCTCCCATTCACTTCCAGGATCAAATCTAAAATCCTCTGTTTGGCTTTTAAAGCCCTTCACCACATGCCCAGCTTCCCTTTCCAGTCTTTTTACAATTTACTTTGTCTACAGACACACTCTCCAATCCAGTGGTACTGGCTTCTTTGTTGTTCCTCAAACACGACCCTCCATCCCCCAACTCCAGGCACTTTCACTGGCCATCCTCCATGCCCTGGAATTCTCTTGCTCCTTATCTCTCTCTCCCTCCTGGCTGTCCTGGGCTTCCTTCAAGTTTCAGCTCAAATCAGAGCTCTAAAGTATTCTGGTCTCCGTTTACATCATTGTATTCATTCCACACACTGCTCTGTCACTTCTGCTTACTTCATTTTGCTGTTATCACTTCATCCAAGTCTTCCCAAGTTTCTTGGAATTCTGCATATTTGTCATTTTATGACACAGGAAGTTAACAAGCCTTTAGTAATTAAGTGTTTACTATGTGCCAGGGATCACATTAATGTGGGTCAGGTAAGGGTGAGAAAGGAAATGGAGATGAGTACTGGGGCAAGGGCAAAGGATTTGAGGGGTCAAAGGACATGTTCAACTAGGGGACATGACAAGCAGAGAAGGTGGGAAAAGATCTTATACTATTAATACTAATGTCTGATTACTGGATACCACAAAAATGAAGAGTGAAACAAGATTGTGCAAATCAGCTGGGACTAATCTATTTTTGACAGGAACATGTAATTAGCTCCTAAAATTGAGGACAGATTCCTAGAACCAAAGCAAAGTTGTTACACTCTGAATTTAACTTTTGTATAGCATGTACATCTGATGAAGTACACGAGGCTGACCCTGACATATACACAGCCAGCATTACATTATAGGCATGCCTCCTCACCTAATTAACTGTGTTCAACATTGTTTCAATCAGCTAGCATTTATTAAGCAACTACTATGTGTCAGGCACTCTTGTAGGCTCTGGGAAAACAAATCTAAAATGACATAATCCAAGAAGTTTACATGTATAAGGGGAGATGATTTGTACAGTAAAAACATATATAGAAAATACATAAACTACAAGATAAGTAAGGAAGAGGAGCAATAGGAGTTGGGGGGCAGGGGCAGGGAGTGGAATCAGGAAAGGCTTCATGCAGAAGCAGTGCTTAAGTTATGTCCTGAAGGAAAAGAGGGATCCTGAGTCTGAGCTGTTGGGGGCGGGGGGGGGTGGGAGGAGGGGAAGACAGACAGTACAAAGACCTGTAGATGGGAGGTGGAATGTCATTCCAAGAGAACAGAGATAAAGCTAGACCACAGAGGAAGGGGAAAGGAGTAACTGTATAATGAAGTTGGAAAGAAGAATTGGGGCCAGGAAAGGGTTTAAAAGCCAAACACAAGAATTTCTATTTGATCCCAGAGGCCACACAACCACTAGAGTTTACTGAATAAGGAAATATTAGATATGATTGCCAGGGGTGTGCTGGTAAATGTTTAACAACTGGCTCTCCAAAAATTTCCAGAGTTTTAAGCTTAATTTGCATCATTAATATTTTCTCCAACACTTTCTTAAGTCAATTAATAAAACAATAAATCAAGCCTTGATTTGTAGTATTTACCAATTTCCAAAGTGTAAATGCTCACAGTGAAAATGTATTAATCAACTCTCACACTCTGGTATGCCTCTGACTTTAGCACACCCAATTCTCAATGGTCCAGACAAAATTCATATGAGATCCAGATAAGGTTTCATATACATTCACATATATTCTTTTTGTATTCTGATATATGTGGAAATGCATGTGTATGTGTGTATATATGCATATATATATATATATATATACATACACACACATATATATACATATATACATATATATATTGTTTAAGTTCATTAAAAACATGATTTTAAAAAATCTAGATGAGAGGTTATGAGGAACTGAATTAAAGTGTGTGAGTAGAGAGGAGACAGATGTAAGAGATGAAATGAAATGCCAAGGGTCTAGCTATGTAGGATGAGGAAGAACAAAGAATTAAGGATAATATCAAGATTATGAACCTGGGAAGATGGAAAAATGATGGTATCTTCAATAAAAAATAAGGAAGTTTGAAGGGGGAGGATAGTGGTGGAAAGATAATAAATTCTATCTTGGACATGTTGCATTTGAAATGTCCAATAGGAAACTGGTGATAAAAGGCTAAACCATCATTAATACTTATAACCAATCTTCATTGTAAAGGCATGAGACTCTGCCGTGTTGTCCATTTTTAACATTCATCCCAATGTTTCACAGGGTCTTCCTGCTTCCTCCAAGGTCAGTTCATCTAACAAAGAGCTTTTGCTAAACCAAATAGTGCCACAGGACAAGGTTTACCTGAACACAGATCAAACAACTGCCTTAACTCAAAAAATTTAGCTTAGTCTCCAAACAGTTTTTCACCCAATGTTGCTCTTCTCTTTCAAGGAAAAAAATTAAACCAGAATAAAAAACCAGGGTAGCAGCAAGTCAACTGAACACACAACATAGTGTTTCACATCGATATACTTCAATTGGATCAGACAATCTAATTAAAAAGAGCTGTTTTTTTAAAGCACTACTTAGTATGAGATAATATTCATTTACTGTAATTACTCATGACAAGTGTACAAGATAGTATAATTTTGTTTAAATAATGGATCAAAGTGTTTCTTTTAATTGGTGTTCTATTTAGAAGGATGCCTGGGGCAAGTATCTCTTTTACCCAACCCTGGATATGATCCTATAAGATTTTTTGGGGGGGGGAGGAAGGGAGAGTGGTTGTCCCCATACAAGAATCACAGAATTTTTCGAGTAGAAAGGGCTCTCTGCAACCATCACGTGTAACCTATACCTGAAAAAGAATCTCCATAACATTATACCCACCTTCTACTTCAAGACCTCCAATGAGGGGAAATATTCCACCTCCTGAAGCAGCCTACTACACTTAGAGATTGCTCTGTTAGAAGTTTCTTCTTTCCTCTCATTTTCGTTCCTCTCCAAGCTCCACTGTTTTCTTCCCCTTTACCCTTTGTACTTCTTCCCTCCCTTCTATTCACCCCCTCCCTTTTCTTTTTCCTTTCCCCTCCTATTTCCTATAAGGTAAGTTAGATTTCTATACTTAACTGATTATTCCCTCCTTGAACGAAATTTGATGACAGTAAGGTTCAAACAATGCTCATCTCCCTTCCTTCCTTCCCTCTATTGTATTAGGTTTTTTTGCCTTTTCATGTGATGCAATTTATATTTATCTGCCTCCTCCTTTCCTCTTCTCCCAGTACAATCCCTTTTCACCACTTAGTTGTTTTTTTTTACCATCACATCAAACTTACACACACACACACACACACACACACACACACACACACACACACACACACACCCTCTGTCTAAGTATACCCCCTTTTAAAAGTCATAACAATAAAAAAAGTCATAATAACATTATAATTCTCAAGAGTTACAAGTGTCATCTTCCCTTGTAGGGACGTAAACAGTTTGCTCTTATTAATAATGTTGTTGTTGTTTTTCTTTCCTGTTTACCTTTTTATGCCTCTCTTGAATCTTTGTATTTGAAGGTCAAATTTTCTGTTGAGCTCTGGTCTTTTCATCAGGAAGGTTTGGAAGTCCCCTATTTTGTTGAATGTCCATCTCCTCCCCTGAAAGATTATGCTCAGTTTTGCTGGGTAGTTGATCCTTGGTTGTAATCCAAGCTCCTTTGCCTTATGGAATATTGTATACAATACCCTCTGATCTTTTAATGTAGAAGTTATAAGGTCCTGCTTAATCCTGACTGTGGTTCCATGATATTTAACTTGTTTCTTTCTGGCTGCTTGCAGTATTTTCTCTATAACCTGGTAATTTTGGAATTTGGCTACAGTATTCCTTGGCGTTTTCAATTTGGGATCTCTTTCAGGAGGTGATCTGTGGACTCTTTCAATGAATATTTTACCTTCTGATTCTAGGATCTCAGGGCAGTTTTCCTTGATGATTTCCTGAAAGATGCTGTCCAGGCTTTTTTTTTTTTTTCATCACGATTTTCAGGTAGACCAGCACTTTTTAAATTGTCTCTCCTGGATCTATTTCTGAGGTCAGTTGTTTTACCAATGAGATATTTGATGTTTTCTTCTACTTTTGTTTCTGTTTGACTAATTCTTGCTCTCTCATAGAGTCACTAGCTTCCACTTGCCCTATTCTAATTTTTAATGAGTTGTTTTCTTCTATTAGATTTTGCACCTCCTTTTCCATTTGCCCAATTCTGCTTTTTTTTGTTTTGTTTTTAGGCAATTAGGGTTAAGTGACTTGCCCAGGGTCACACAGCTAGTAAGTGTCAAGTGTTTGGTCTGAGGCTAGATTTGAACTCAGGTCCTCCTGACTTCAGGGCCAGTGCTCTACTCACTGTGCCACCTAGCTGCCCCTCAATTCTACTTTCTAAGGACTTATTTTCTATAGTTAATTTTTGTCCTTTCTTTTCCAACCTATTGACTCTCTTACATATCTCTCATTTCTTTTCCCAATTTTTCTTCTACCTCTCTTATTTGACTTTTAAAATCCTTCTTGATCTCTTCCAAGAAGGCTTTTTGAGCTTGAGACCAGTTCATATTCTCCTTTGAGGTTTTGGATGTGGGTATATTGACAATGTTGTCCTCTTCTGAATTTGTGTCTTGATCTTCCCTTTCCCCAAAATAAGAATCCATGGTCATTTTCCATTTCTGCTTTTTGTTCATGGTGTTTGCCTATTTCCTGACTTAAAAAAAAATGTTGAGTTCTCCTGCTGAAGCAAAGGGGGCACTTACCCAAGCTGCTTTTCCTGCTCACCAGGCCTTGCACTTGAATGTTTGGCTCCTGCTCACCTGGTCCTTACACAGGGATGTTTCACTGCTGGTGAGGCTCTCAGAGGGAGGGGGGTCCTGGTGTTGGCACTTGCCTGCTCCACCAACCTGGATCTTAGGATCTTCTCCTGGTATTCTGAGGTGGGGCTTCCTGCTGGCTTGCTGGGATGCCTTCCATCCTGTACTGCTTCCCCTTCCCCAGAGAGAGAGAGGGGCCTTTCCCATTAATCTCCCAAGTTTCCTGGGCTACAAGACTGCAACACTCTGTCTTTTTGCTGGCTCAGGGCTTTTCCTGGGTTGATATTTTCTGGGCTTTCAGAGGTCAATGAGGGAGAGCGAGAGAGACTTACTTCTTACTCCACTATCTTGGTTCCCAGAAGCAGAAGTCTTCCAAGCTCCACTCTAGACTTACTCTTCCATGCCCAAGAAACCTCTTCTCCTAAAGCTCCCTCAAACCGTGGAATCCACACATTAGAAGTACCAAGTTCTACCTAGGTCTGGTCTCTTCATCTAATCAGATGGCTTCTCCACAGAGGCTGGCACTCAGGCCAGCCAACATCTCATTACACCCTGGACTGGACTGCTTACATCCTCTACAAAGCCCCTGGGTCACATACCTTTGTGTCCCCTGCCCCCCCTCATCTTTCCAGTTTCCTTTTATCTTCTTCCATAAGAATGTAAGTTCCTTGAGGGCAGGAACTATCTTCATTTCAACTTGTATTTGTATTCCCAGTGTTCAGCACAGTGCCAGGCACATTGTAAGTGCTAATAAATGCTTGTTGACTGACTGACTTTCATCAAAGCCTAAAACTGTCTCTCGGTGTCTTCTGCCCGTTGCTCCTGCTTCTTCTCATTCAGACCAAACAGAACCCATCTAATCCCCCTGAGCGATAACTCTAAAACTGAGGTGCTTAGCCTAGTTTTGTACCACAGCCCCTTTTTATAGTCTGGTGAAGCACATGGACCCCTTCTCAGCAAAACCTTTTTAAATGTGTAAAATAAACTACAAAGAAAACCAATTTTATTGAAATATAGCTATAGATATATTCCAGAAAAAGTTCATGGACCTTCCTGTTAAAATGAGATTATAAATTTTGCCCTGATATGGGAAGCATTCCTCCATTAAAAGCCTATTTTGAAGTCTCTTTGATATAAAGAGGCGTACTTCACTCCTCAAAGGCTCTCTCAGTGGAAAACAAGCTCTAAAAGGGTCCATCGAGCTAAGAGAGGCTTTGAATATAGGCCAAGTAATGGATTTTGTCTATGGCTAGAGAGATCTATCATTAGGTGGGCCAAAGGTCAATGACTGGGGATGGGGCAGGGTGGGGCACAGCTCTTAAGGAAAAAACTAGTAAGTTGATTTTTTTAAAAATCTAATAAGAATTGCATTCTCCACTGGTAGAGGGAATGCCACCAAAAACAAAATGGCAGACCCACGAAATAAACTTTGAGATAGAAGTAATTTGATCCACTCTGTCCCGTCATTACTTTTTCTCACTTCATGGGAAAGCAGGCAAGACCAGTCACGCTTCAAACAAGGCATTGCTTTATACTCACCATTCTCCTTTCTTAACCTTGAAATGAACTTCTTTGGTGGAATCACGCCAACTTTTTTCTTCTGAGTAGCAATGCTGTGAAAAAGGTCTGCCAGGCAAGTCAACAGATTTTCCTTCTTTTTTTGCTGGGCCTTGTATGCCAATACATTTTCTCGAAATGGCCGACAGAAGTACAATGCTTGCAGCACGGAGTTACAGTAGCATGTGTTCCCAAACTGCCAGAGGAAAAGCAGAATATCATGAGATCTGATTTCTAGAAGACCTTTGCCTCTTAGAGACCATAATAGTCAATCACCATCCAGGTATGACAATCTGCATCAGCCTACTTGTACTAGAAACACAGTACAATCTTTTTATGTGTCAATTAAGTCAGTAGGGATCAATGTAAATAGATGAAAAATACAAATATCCCCAATAATGGTCTTTGCACCTTTCCTTTGAGTACAACAGGCCACATGCTAAATTCCTCAGAATTCTCCCACAGATGTAATATTCTACCATGACAGTTAGCATGATTTCCTGATGGAAAAACTGGTTGAGTCTTGTTGGCTGGGATGATGGGCCAAATCTAACAGATGACATCTGATGACAACTTGAAATCTGACAAGGACAAATGTTTAAATCCTATACTTATGTTTAGGACACTACAGGAAGGAAAGACCTTTTTCATGTTAAAAAGATGTAAGGACATTAGCCAACTGCCAACTCAATATAAGTATGAAATGATGGACTAAAAATGGCAATGCTATCTCTGGCTGCGTAAATAGCACAACAGGTTCTAGAAAAAAGTATCTAGTAGTAATCTCTGTTATGGCCAGATCACATCTAAAGAAAAATTACCAACAGGTGCATGGTAAAGAGAAGGGTAATCAGGATAATTAATTTGAAACCATATCAGATAAGAAAACATTGAAGAAACCAGAGACATTTAACCTGAAGAAGATAAAACTTGGGAGTAGGGAAAGAGGGGACATGATCGCTGTCTTCAAACATTTCAAAGGCTGCCATATGGAAAGGGTATTAGACAATCTCTACAATGCCAGAGGGTGAAATTAAGATCAATGACTGGGAGTTACAGAGGATGTAGAGTTTAGCTGCTGCTAAGGAAGAAATTTCTAAATGTTATAGCTGTCCAAAAATCAAAAGGGGTGCTATAAGCTCTCCCTCAGAGGAGTCATTTCAGCAGAAGCTGAATGCCACACACTTGTGAGGGACAGAGGCTCTTGGAGATACAAAGAGATCCAGGAGACACTGACCTTTTGAGGTCCCTAGCGACTATCATAATAACAGAGTTCATAAAAACAAAATAGAACACAAAAAGGAGAAAAATCATTTTAACAAATGCTTTTCTAGCCTTTATCTTTACAAATGAATTAATTATTGGAGGAGGGGGGGAGAATCTAGCTTTAGTACAATGCCATACTAGATATTCTCAAGCCCAGAAAAACCATTCAAATGCTCTTATCTCATAGTTCTGGTAGTTCTCTGCCTGCTAAATTTGAATTCCCTCTAGGCCAAATAGCCTTTTTGGTTTACAAAGAACTTCATATGTATTTTCTCATCTGATCCCCACAACAACCCTGTGAAGTTCGTAGTTCAATTGTTGGGTTTGTTGCTATTGTTGTTTTTGACCAGCCGTGACTTTATCAGTATTATAAACTTCCAATGAAGAAAATTCCTCTGTCAATAAAAGTCAGCACCTGCTCTACATCTCATGGTATTAGAGGGTTGGCTAGAATACTAACAAATTAAGTGACTGGCCCAAGGTCACACAGCCAATTTATCTCAGAGGCTGAACTCAAACCAAAGTCTTCCTGCAAGCAAGTTCTCTGTCTACTATTCCACACTACCTCTCAATAAAAGCATTATAACCCCTATTTTTACAGATTAGGAAATGGAGGCTGAGAAGTAAAGGGACTTTCCCAAAGTCACAGAGTTAGTAAGTGACAGAATGGGGACTCAAATCCAAGTTCTCTGACTCCAGATCCAGGACCCTATCATGTTTGAAATAGTAAATGATATACCCTAATTCTCCCTTTAGCTTGTAGCTTGTGTTTATTAGCAATATAACTTATTATTATTATTATTATTATTATTATTATTATTATTAGCAGCAATATCAACCCATAAACACCTCAAGCCCTATAACCGCCCTCCTGCTTCTAGCCTCTTATTATTGCACTGTCATGAGAGCCCCACATTAGAACTTGGACCTTATTCAACAGACAGTGCGTGGGAGAAGGGCTTCAATGGAGAAAGTTTCTGGAATATATTTCCCTTTTTGAATAGTCTGGCCAGTTTTAATAGTGTGTGTATATAAAAAGAGAGAGATGGAGGAAAAAATGGAAAATATGGAGGGAGAAAAAGAGGGAAAGGAGAGGGGCCAAAAGAGAAGGGAAAGGACAGGAAGAAAGGGAGAGGGAAAGGGAGGAGAAGGAGGGGACAAGAAGGGAGTAAGAGATGCAGGTGGAGGGATGAATTCTTTTAAGAAACTACATGGAAATGTGATATATCACATTAGCTGTGAATATGGAAAAATTAAGAAGTCTAAGGGCAAAGAAAATAAGCATTAGTTTCCATAATTCTTTCTTCTTCCATTCAATGACCTAAATTTTCATTCCTCCCCACATACCATTAATACATTTCTCTTTGTAAAGGCGAAGCTCCTACTGACTTCAGTAATGGGCTTCACAGACAAATCTGAGCCAAGGACTAGTGCACAAGGGTCCAAGACATTATAATTAAATGAAATGTCCATATTTTACTCACTTTAACGCTTCTGTTCCAACCCATAAATATCACTTCCAGTTCTATAACCTTCATTCTCTCCTCGCCAGCCTCTTACTATTACCCCTATAAAAGAAGGCCCAAGTTGGAAGACACACACCTCCGTCACACACAGGGAAAGGGGTTGCATTCAGAGGGCTTCTGGGTTTCAACTTCCACACTGGAAATGATATGTTAGCCCATGGCCACATTATCAGAGAGTGGTACCAGAGCAGCTGTACAGGAGAGCCAGGTGTTTCTGAGACAGTGTTTATGCTCCGTTGAGTCCTCCACCCAGAGAGGCAGATCAGGAAGGGAAACTGTAGGTGAGATGGATTGTATTACTTACTCACTTGGCTGTAACCAGCTGGTCAGGAAACCAGACCTGGTAGATCTTGTTATGCACAAGATTTTGCTCTGGGGCAGTTCAAAGAGGATATTCCTAGAGCAGAAGTGAAATGAGACCAGGAGTGTGCATAGAATATCTAGTCTTGTTCACCCCCCAGGAGCTGGGATGCCTTTTATGTTCATTCTATTTAGATTAGAAAATCCCATCTACTTCTCAGGACCCAGTTCAAATGTCACTTTCTCCATAAAGTCTGACCTAATTATCCCCATATCTCTACAGAGCTGGAAATGATATTTGTTTCCTTGTACTTTGCATAATAACTTGGTTGTATTTGCTTTATAGAATTACCTCTTTCTATTTAGTATTATACTTGTTCCTGTATATGTCCTTACTTTCAGTAACCTCACAATCTAGAAAGAGAAATACGTTTTATTTAATCTTCATTTCTCCCTTAGTATCTCACATAGTGCTTTACATAAAACATAGTACTTAATAAATATTTGTGGAATTTGAGTTAAATTATGCAAAGAATTCAGTATTAACCTAAGATTTTTATCCATATGATTTAGGAAAAAGGTCAGTTTGCCTGCATAGATGTACCTGGAGTGGCCATAAAAATAAATTTAAGTTCAGCGTTGAATTGTGTAATTGATCCTTAGCCATTGGGAGCTATGTAGGTGGGGGCGATCCCATAAGTACAGCCCTAGGAACACAGGAGGAACTAGCTCAGATATAGTAGCTAATGTCTATTTTAAGGCATCTAAAAATGTCTTAAAATAATGGATTGAAGTTGTCCTTACACCTCCAACTTCCTATTTTCTACACTCTACATTTTCTATATTTACTACTGAAAATCAAGCAATGAAAACAAAACCATGGATTCCATGTGGCAGGATAAACTAGGGCATTTAATGAAAACAATAATACTTACATTGACCAATCCAAAGTAGTGTTCATTGATTGGAAACTGCTCTGGACCAATGTCTTTTTCCAGAGCAGAGGCATTGGTGCCCTGGAGAAAGAAAAGTGATATGTTCAGCTTAATAGAAAATTGAAAAGATGAAAAAACAAAACTTGAAAAAGTCAGCTCCCAAAAGAAACATTTTCTTTGGTCAGAGATGTATAGTCTAGTGTGTAGAAAAGAGGACGCCAAAACGAATTCCAAGCAGCGGGACTTGGCCATCCCACAAGGTACAAAAATGACAGGCAGGCACAGTATTGTCTCCATATCATTGTTTCTCATGCTGTTTGATGAGGGGTCAAAAATGGGAAGGTACAAAAAAATGAAGAGCATCCCTCACATTCAGCTGTCATTCTTTAGTCTCGGCAATAGGCTTCTCTTTTCCTCAAACCTTTTGTTCTCATCTTCCATTATGTCCTAAAAGAACTCTAGGAAAGAGGATGTATGAAACAATACAATGGAAAAATCTTGACCATAAAATTCCTTTGGAATATTTATATGGAAATAAAAATCTATCACCCAGAATGGAATATGGGCTATACCACCAATTTCAAACTTTCATCAAAAAAAAAAGAAAGAAAGAAAAGAAAAACTCATATAAAAAAAATGAAGGCAGGTTATGAAAGTTAAAAGAGCAAGTTCATTTTTCTCATTTGATCCTTACAACAACCCTGGGAGGTAAGGTTATTATTATCCCCATTTTACAGGTGAGGAAACTGAAGCAGACAGAGATTAAGTGACTTGCCCAGGGTCACATAGCTAATAAATTTCTGAGGTTGGATTTGAGCTCAGGTATTCATTCCTGAGTCTAGGTCCTGTGCTCTATCCAGCACGCCACCTAGTTGGATCAAAGAGGGTAATATTTGTAAAAGAATTTAGCACAGTTTCTGGCAATTAGCAGGAACTTAATAAACATTTCTTCCTTTCCCTTCCCTTCCCCCAGAAGACATTCCCAACAGCAACTACTTGATGAGCCAACTAAAACAGTCCTACACTTTTGCACAAGAAACAATTATTTCTCCTCCCTGACCTTGGTAAAGCTTCTTCAACAATGAATCTATTGGCATCAAGGAGAAGCGAACCGAAGTTTATGCAACAACATGAACTTAACAAGGTCAGGAAGAATGGAATCCAAATCAAGTAAATGACCAAGTTCTCTTTGCACACAACTGGCGAGTGACAAAGAAAGACTCAAACTCATCCGAGGATACCCCTTCCCTTGAGACCCTGTCCTCAGGACAGCCTGTCTGCCTTCCTTCTGACTTTAGTACTTTAAAAGGCTTAGCTCTTTTAAGCCTTCAGAGATCTATGATTCTGATATTTTTTAAGGCAAGAATTCCGTCTTTTTTAAGAACCATTTCTGAAAGAGAACAAACACGATATGATGGACCTTCACAAAGACCTGTAAGGGGATATAGAATAAAAGCCTTTTTTTTAGGTTTGTTGTTCATTATTACATTTGTTTCTACCTTGCTCAGTGTTAAAGTTCCTTGAGAGATTGTACTCATTCTGTAAGCGTTTTTGTTTTGGTTCTTGATTAAGTTTACAATAAAAATTTTTGTTTAATCTCATTTTAGCTTGTATCTTGCTGCACAAAATTAGCATTTCCTGCCAACAAAGTGAAATCGCTTCTAAAGAGCTGAATGAATGGAGTGAAAATAGGCACAAGTGCTATTGGGGACCTTGAAAAGCTGAAATGCAAAAAACAAGCCACTGTAAAGCAAATAACAACTTGAAGGGATGGAATTTTCCACCCTCTAAACTGCCTTTTCCTCTACACTAAATTTGTATACTTTACTGCTATTTCAATAATCCAATTTCTTTACCTGTCATTTAGCACTGAAGTACAGTACAATACTGCTTAAATCTATTTTGTCTCTAGTGATAAATGAACCTACGTGCTACCAGTTCCTCTTCTTAAGACAGGTATCTGCAAAAGACATCAAGAGAAATTCAGGTCTCCTAGAACTGGGTTTCTTAACCTACTTTGTGTCTTGGACATCTCTGGCAGTCTGGGGATATCTACAGACCTCTTTTCAGAATGTTTTTTAATACAAAAAATAAAGGATTACAAAAGGAAACCAATTACATTGAAATACAGTTGTCAAAATATATTTTAAAAACATATGCAGGCACTTATCTGTATCAAATTTCTTAACATCTCAGGGAGGGGAAAAGAGAAGCAGGGAGAGAATTTGGAACACAAAATTTTTAAAAACAAATGTTAAAGAGGCAGCTAGGTGACACAGTGGATAGAGCAACAGCCCTAGAGTCAGGAGGACCTGAGTTCAAATCCAGCCTCAGGCACTGACCAGCTGTGTGACCATGAGCATGTCACTTAACCCCCATTGCCTCAACAAAAAAAAAAGAATGTTGAAAATTATTTTTACATGTAATTGGGAAAAAATACTATTCATAAAGTTTTTTTAAAAGTGCATGGACCTCAAATTAAGAATCCCTGCCCTATGAAATCAAAACGAGTATTCACTCATCACGATTTCAATCTTTTAACTCCATTTCATCTTGATGCAATGAAGAAAAGGCCTTGCAGACTGGAAGCCCTAGCATCAAGTACTACTTCTAGCTATATCACCTCCACAAAACCCAACATCCCCAGCAACATTCTAAGCCTCTAAATTGCCGATGATCTGCTCTGATCAGCATTGGTAATGGTATGAAATCACAAGTCAAAAAATAAAAACTTCAAATAAAAAAAAAAATTTATCAAGCACCTACCATACTCAAAGCCCTCTGGGTTTTTACAAACGCAAAGACAAAAAAGCAGATCCCCAGACAAAAAAAAAGTCTCCCCCCCCCATACCTTTGCTTTTGAATCCCTACCTTCCTTCTCGGCTCATCTATTAAACTCCTCATATAAGAAGACTGTCCTAATGACCCCAGTTATTATACCCTCCCTTATAGAAATTATTTTGAATTTACTTCTTATATACTTTGTAATTGCTTATCTGAGTGTGTATTGTATTCCCCTGGTAGTATGAAAGCTTCTTGAGGTCACAGACTACTTGATTTTTTTTCTCTTGGTGTCCCCAGGGCCCTACATAGAATAGATATTCAATAACTATTGGTTAAATAGAATTATTGCACAGGTATGGGTTCCACTTTGTGATTCTGAATCTGTTTTTGCAGGATACACATGACTAACATAAAATCATAACACACAACATGTTTCTCCCCGAGACAGAAATGTTCTCAACCTCAGAAATGTAAAAATAAACAAACCCCCCAAAACAAAAACAAACTCCACCCAAAAAAAGTGATCTTCCTAAGATTAGTTCCTTCTCGTTTAATTACCTAAGAAACATGTTATTTGAAAATTCCTGGTCCTAATGAAAAAAGAAAAAAAAAAAGGACTGTGCATAGTTCTTACTGAAAAAAATATCCTGAACCCAACCCCCATGAGCAGCAGTTGTATTTGGGGTGAAGTAACACTCATACACAGGAACAACAGCAGTAAAATGGATTAACAGTGAAATGGGCTATGCTTCTCATTCTTTAGTTTCTGGGTTCATCATTCCAAGGGCACTACAGTAAAGTCTTTCTGACTCCGAGCCCTGAATTCTAACCACTCTACCACCTAGCTGCCCCTTTGTGGGAAAAGATAGCACTGTTGGTCAAAGGCTACACAGAGTTTAGTGACTCTAGGGGCAGAGCTACAAACTGCAATAGCCTCCTGATAGGTCTCCTGCCTCAAGTCTCTCCCTGTTCCAAACTGTCTTCCTCATAGCCACCAGCAATTTTCCGAAAACACAAATCTGGTCTATGTCAAGCCCCTACTCAGAGCCCAGTGGCTTCCTATTCCCTCAAGGATCTACAAATACAAACTCCTCTGTTTGGCATTTAAAGCTCTTCGGATCTTGACTCCTTCTCTTTCTTCTTTTCTTACACATTATTCCCCTACCTACTTCAGATCTATGAGCTACTTGCTATTCCTCACACTCCATCTCTACCTGACTACGCACCAGCTGCTCTCCACGCCTGGAACGCTCTCCCTCCCCACCTCTACCTCCTGAAGTGCTTGGTTCCCTTCAAGACTCCAGTCAAATGCCACCTTCTAGGGAAGGGCTGCTCCCAATACCCCCAGCTGCTGGTGTCTTCTCCTCTCAAGCCTATCTAAAGATACATACTCTGTATGTATCTTGCATATACTCTTTAACATTGATGTTGTCTCCTCCGTTAAAATGCAAGTTCCTCTGCTGCTAAGTGAAATGAGCCCAATCAGGAGAACACTGCACACAGTAACAGCAACATTGTACAGTGGCCAACTTTGATAGACTCAGCTCCTCTCAGTAATGCAACGATCTAAGACAATTTCAAAAGACTAAAGGCTGAAAATTCTATCCACATCCAGAGAAAGAGCTATGGAGTCTGAATGCAGATTGAAGCATACTACTATTTGCTCTTTTGGGGTTTTTTTTTCTTTCTCGTGGTTATTCCCTTTGGTTCTGATCCTTCTTTACAACATGACTAATGTGAAAATATATTTAATATGATTGTACATGTAAAGCCTATATCAGATTACATGCCATTTTGGGGAGGGGGAAGGGAAGAAAGGAGGGGAAATTTAAAACTCAAAATCTTATAAAAGTAAATGTTGAAAATTAAAAATAAATACTTTTTTAAAAAATACAAGTTCTTGAGGGCAGGACTATTTTTGGTTTTGCTTCCTGCCCCTGCCCCCACCCCCGCGCCATTCATGGATAGAGAAAGAAGGCTTAAAGGGACTCATACTTCAAATATTTGAGGAATTGGTACTACAGAAAAAGAATTGGACTTATTCTGCTTAGCCTTAAAGGGCAGAACCAATAGTAATGGAGAGAAGGTACAGAGAGGCAGATTTAGGCTTGTTTACAAGAAAAAAAATTCAAATAGTTAAAAGTTATTCACAAGTAGAATAGGCTGCCACAGAGATAGTGGGTTCCCCTTTCCCGGAGGTCTTCAAACAATGGTTGGATGACCCATTTGCTGAAGTAATGTAGGTTTCAAAACCCCATGGAAAGACTGATTATTTAACACAGTATGCCTTTGTGAAG